ACTTCTTCTCAATAACCAAAAGGCCCAGGGTACTGATATTGGGCCTGTAGCATGCTGGGATGAAGGACTATCAAGTTTGTTCAACTGAATGACCTTGACCAACTTTCAAGGTCACAGGGGTCAAATGTCGTAAAATCTTCAAGCGACTTCTTTTCAATAAGCAAAATGGCCAGGGTACTGAAATTGGGCCTGTAGCATGCTGGGATGAAGGATTACCATGTTAGTTCAAATGAATGACCTTGATCCACTTTCAACCTAATGTCCTTGTTCGACAATCAAGGTCAGAGGCGTCATATGTTTAAATCTTTTAATTGGTTCTTATGAAATCTTAAGATTACAAGTGTTAGATTAATAACAGGTGAGTGATGCAGGCCCATTGGGCCTCTTGTAATCATCTGTATGGTGAATTCGCTTAAATTGTATTTAATACAAAAAATATAAAATAAAATGATGTACCTGTACACCTGATGTCTTTGAAAGAAAATAAATTGTGTATTTGACAGGGAATGGTTCAAGCTGCTGTGTACATTCAGAAGAAGCTGAAGGATGATCGTATCTTGGCTAAAGCTTTTGGGATGGATCTAGTAAGTTGCAGTTTGTACATTATCAAAAACAGTTTTATTAACCATAAAAGTTTGAAGCCTAGCTAATCAATTTTAATTAAGATCTGACATTTCAAGGAAAGGATTTACGTGTTACTCTGAAACAAAACAGATCAATCAGTTGACATTCAAAGAGTTCTACTTGAAACCTATGCCAGCCATTTGATGAATTGATTGCAAGATTCTTTAATAGATAATGTACAACATTCAATGTGGAGAACGGAGAAACCATACATTATGTACACCCGATGGGAAGGGATATTGTTCAACTGTATTTGATGCTGTTGAGGTTGCGACTATAGACTTGTGTTACATGATACATGACTGGGACTGTGATGTGAAGCCCTCATCCTGCACATCAGTGTTGTTAATAATTGATAAGGACTGGTAAAGTTACGTAGAACAGTGGTTAACAGTGGTATATATCAACAAACTTTGTCAGTCGGCAGGTTTAGTGATAGGGGCATTATAAGGTGTTTATATCCTCTTGTCTATACTGTAGAAACATGCATTGTTAAGTGATTTTTGGGAGAAAATGTGAAGAAATTCCATTATATTCAACCTACATGTATATTTGTATTGTTTTGTTTAGTGGATGTGGTGGAAATGGTACAATATTATCTTGACTATACTCAAAATTTTTATATGCCCGTCAAATTTGACGGAAGTATTATGGTATGGGTTTGTCCGCCGTCAACTTTTGTTTATCCGACAATCTACTCCTACATTTTTTTTCCGATCTCTTTGAAACTTGGTATACATTATAAACATGATATGAAGTTGTGTCTCTCTTAAAAGAATTTTTATTTAACATTTTTTCCAAAAGTTATTACCCTTTGTTCATTTCAGTATTTGATTTTTTAGGTCACCTGAGACAAAGTCTCAAGTGACCTATTGCGATCGCCTTTTGTCCGTCGTCGTCTGTCGTGCGTCCGTAAACAATTTACATTTTCGACTTCTTCTCCAAAACCCCTGAACCAATTTCAATGAAATTTTGCAGGGACCTTCCATGGACAAACGTCAACAAAAATAATGGCCAGTTTAGTCCCAAGCCCCCAGGGGCCTGAAAGGGTCAAATTGACTAAACTTTCAAAAATCTTCTTCTCCAAAACCCCTGAACCAATTTCAATTAAATTTTGCAGGGACCTTCCATGGACAATGGTCAACAAAATTGTTGGTCGGTTTAGTCCCAAGCCCCCAGGGGCCTGAGGGGCGGGGCCAAAAAGGGTCAAATTGACTAAAATTTCAAAAATCTTCTTCTCAAGACCCAGATATGGTAGAATCAATTACTCTTCATATATGGAAGGGTCTTAAGGTGCTTTACCATAATTGTGAATTTCTTGACCCTGGGGTCTCACGTTTCCCCCTGGGGAAGGGGTAAACTTTACTATAGTTTATATAGGGAAATCACATTTTGGACCAACATTTGTTTAATTTCCATTGGAAGTAATTCTATTTGGGTTAGCATTATCAGTACTTCTACTTCCAAATTTA